TTCCATTTCAAAAAGCCCATATATTAAATACCATGTGTTGTGTTGAGAGCTGTCTATGTTTTCTTTGCTTCCTTGCAGGTTTTCTTTTGTTCTCTGCTGTACACTTTTTAGTTTGTACTAAACCCTTTCCCCTTCTTCCCCTCAAGGCCACAATCAAGTATGGTTATATTTATGTATAGACATACACATACATATATACATATACATACATACATATATGTACATATGTTTTTCCTAACAGATTCTACTCCTAATCTTTATTTTTATGTTTTTGCATATCTCTTATTTCCTATCCCTCCTGACTCCCCTACTTTACTCCTATTCTCTACCTTGCTCTTCTACTACTTAACCTACCTCACCTCCAAGGATCACTCCCTTATATTCTCATTCCCATAAATTTAAATGCCCTTTTATTCTCTCCTTTGACCAATTCCCCCACCCTCCCCTCTAAAGATCTCTCCCTTATTCTCTCCCCCCTCCCTATTCCCTTAGTATTGTTTTTCTTTCTAAATTTGGAAGACTTTCATACTCTTCTAGATGTGTATGTATTGTTCTCCTCTTAAACCCATTCCTGATGAAAGTAGGTTTCCAAAACCAAAAGCCCTCTTTACCCATCTAATTCCTCTTTATGGGTTCTTCCTCTTGAATCTCATTTGCATAAGATAATGACTCTTTTTAGCTGTTTTTGAACAGTTTCATTTTTGAAGTCATATCATGCTCAAGTCTACCCCAATCTTTCTAATGAACTATCCAATTACTAACAACAATCTTAAACATACATTTTACATTTTACATACATAAAAGGTAAACTGTCTGTCCTTGTTGAGTCCCTTGTAATGGGCCTTTAGTAGGTACCTTGTATTTCTCTTGGCTCTTGTACTTAATAGAAGATTAAGTTCATTTTTTTTTAAACAAAGTCCTAAAAGTCTGACAGTTGATCAGTTATCCATTTTTTTCCATTCAGGATTATGCTCAACTTTGCTGAGAATATTTTCAGGCAGAACCCCAGTTCTTTTGCTCTTCAATATATATTGTTTCAAGACCTGTGGTCTTTTAGTGT